AAAAAACACACAAAACACATCTCTCTAAAATGATCTACTCCAGGTTTCATTAAGATCTTAAATTTAGTCTCAACATGTTTCATCATCCACCCCCTCATCTCTATATAATGATAGCTGAATTCGTCTCAGACATTGTTAGTACTGTCATTATTTTGTTTTGTCTTTTTTACGTAGTTCTGTTTTTATGTAATGAACTGCCGGAGATCATTTCATAAGACTCCTGGAGGATCATTTCATAGGGACCCAAGTAAGGGGTATCCAGCAGTCACAAAGGGGTGCCTATTGGAGAAAGTCGGGGTGCCCCTGTCACATCCACTCACTGGATGGGACTAGCTACACCACCCAACTCCATGTGACTCCTGGTAATTATATAGTTTAATACCCAACTTGCTCCATCATGTCGTTGGTTCCGCGTCGGGTTTCTTTTGCGCTCTGTCCGTTTTCTCCGGTCGCCCAAGCGGCTCATGGTCGACGTTCACAGAGCCACAACACCCCATAGCGGCGGCCGAGTCCGGTGCAACTGCTGAGCCGCGATCCGGCGAAACGCATCCGGCAGGTGCTGAAACCCTGGAAAGTGACGGTGGCTTGGAAAGCGGCCCAAGCAACCATACACAAATGACAGAAAATAGACGACCAGCTGCTTCCGTTCGGGGTTACCAATGGACAACCCTACACTGTTTATCGGTCACCATTGGACACCCATTGGAAGCGCTAGGTGCAAAAAAACATATCTTTCAATTCACCTCTCGTGGAAGATTCCTGATGATCTAAACCTGAAATGACCTTGCTTTGGCTTTGACTGTCGGTGACTGTCGCGTCCTTGCAGTCCTGTCGGCTGCTGACCTTGGCTTGGATTTCCTGGATGAGCTTTCTCGAGTCTCACCACATCATGCCCCCAAATCCGGGTCAGGCGAAGCGCCACCTGGTCCCACGTGAACCAAGCCATGTCTTCGCAACCAAAACCGATGCCGGAATCGTTTCGCAACATCGATGCAAACCCTAAGGGTCCAGGACCATCCTGAGGATGTCTTTGACCCCCCCAAGACCAATTTCTGGAAGTACGAACTCACCTCCAAGACCCTCAGGAGGTACCTGGACCCGGAAAATCGTTCTCCAATTGATATTGAATGTAGCAGCAGTCACGTTCGGGTGCGATCCATGGAGGAAGGAGGCACTAGTGCCCATCCTCCACGGCGGTTGTGGATGGGACTCAGAAGCACCTAACTCCATGTGACTCCCTGGTGCTAAGCCTACAAGTCAAAGACCTCATTCTACTGGGGATGGTCATAGAAAACCAATACTTCAGGAGGTAAAAGACCAGGTTTTACTGGGTCTTTGGACTTGTAGGGTAATGTTGATTTATAAATAGAACGCACCCATTTAGAATTGCCTTCAGGGTTCTATTCATCAACAGTCATTCGTGGAGTGATCTCATACCTTCTTGGCAGTTTACATACCTTAAGCAGTCCAAACAGAGTGGTGCTCAAACACCATCCCGCCAGTCCCTCCAAACGGGCGTGCATTTGAATTGGGAGACCTCGGAGACCCCAACCCATGCGATTTAGTCTATTTCGTCGGAACGCCTGGGAGGTCGGCACCGAGAACATACCCACCCGCCTGGGATTCCACTGGCACCGAGGTACAGCGTTAGACACTGTTATGTACACTGCCGAAAACTAAGATGGTACCCTGAGAATGGTATCAAAGACCGTTTTCCTCTATATACAAACCAGTGGTTTTCAGGGTCTATGATGGTCTATGTTAGTTTTCAGTGGGGTAAGTTTGGAGGGTCCAAGCACTTTCTGAGAAGGTACTTTGATCCCTATAGGACCAATGGTCGACCCCCGTCTTTCCAGTGCTTTTTGGGCCTGCAAATGGCTCACGCGTTTCCGCACTTGCGCCTCTTGGCGCCGTAGGGCACTTTCAGCCCAACGACGCTTCTGGGCGTCGGCAGTGACCAAGGGTTCCAGGGAAGACTCATCGATGTCCAAGTCCTCCAAGAGACCTGGAATGTGAGGGAAACATGCTCTCAAAGCACCAAATACTCTGACGAACACATCACATGTGTCTTGGAAAACCGCCTGTTGGTAGAGGACTTCGTCGTCTTCCAGGGCCCCATACCATCCAATTCCATGTGATGTGTTCGTCAGAGGGAAATGCAAGCAATACATCTAGTCCAACGAATCCTGGAGATCTGAAAGATACTATGTAACCCCAACGAAAACGAATCTCCGCTTTGCTTGGCTGACTCCAGCCCCAGGCAGCATAGGCAGAAAACGGGCTTTGAACTTTTACGGCAGAAAACAAACCAACATAGCTCAAGCATGCTTGAGCGCAAGGGAAGATCGTCGAGTAGCTGCGCGTTCGCCAGGCGTTAGGGAACTTTTCCGGTTAAATGGAGAATCTAGATACATCTGGACACATCTGGATATACGCATGGCTCCAACCCTCTCCAAACCACCACTACTCCAAAGTAGTGACCACCAAGGATCCCTTTGCCATTTGGAGACCCTACTAAGGTGTTTCCGGGACTGCGCTGCAGTCTGGAAGCGCTGCGTTGGAAGCACTAGTGCAGTGCAACGTAGTGTAAATGATTCTGCACTCCCAAGAGCCACATCTTCTTCCAATTGTTGTCCCGTTCCCTTCATCACCAAGTTCCCTTCACATCCGCACCCGCACTGGGACGTAGACGTCAAATCGGCGGCACACATATTATCTGCATATATCATATATATATATATATACCAGGGTCATCCAATGGGTGCCAATAGACAGCCCTACCCTACCCTATCCAATGGGTGTGCTAGGTATATATATACACTCCAACAAGAGTTGATATAGCAGCCTCAAACCAACAACTCCTGACTGAGATGGCCCTCGAAGTCCAACTCAACACGAAACGAACGAAAGCTGCAGCTCCAACCGCAACTTTTACATGGCGCGCCAGCTCGGTTCAAATGCCCTCCCACTTTGGGCCAACATGATCACGTCAAGATTCGGATGGATCTTCACATGGGGAGGAAAGTGTAAATTGAAATTCCAAATTCATGCTTCATCATCTTGTCCATCCGTGTCCTCATTCCACCCATGTGGTGGTGTCGGAACTTCACCGCTTGTTTCTTCTTGCAGCCTTGTCCAACAAACTCGACACATACCATCTTTGTTGAGGATCCTGGAACTCGAACGGAAGCTGTGGCAATCATTAAAGACATGCCATCTAGTGCCACTCTCTGTGTAGTAGCAACCTCCTACACGCATCCTTACGAGGCGTGTTCGAATCCGGAGCAGCTCATCACGAGACTCCTCAACTTCATTGCGCAGCTCTCGGGCTTCGGCCCGCAACATGTAAATGATCTTCTGCTGCCAAATCAATGTACGGACAAAATCAATGAACTTGCACATGCACTTGTACACACCATAGCCAACCATGGGAATGCCAACTAACAGCGACACTACCGTCACGCCA